GCACACACACACACACACACACACACAGCCATTCTCATGGTATGGTCTGCCCCCGAGCATGCAAATGACATTCATTATGCAAATGCATACAAATCAGGCCCGACCATCTGAGAAGGCACGCTGGGAAAAAAGAGCAGAAGAAAGAAATTAAGTGAATGAGGCGAAAGCGAAGCGAGAGCAGGATGTGAAAACACAAAACGGCGTAAAAGTGGCATGTTTTTTTTTCCTTAAGTCTCCACCTTTTCGACATGAAGCCAAACGATCACAAGAAGCCTCTTTCACACAGAGAGCCCACAAAATGACCGCATGAGAGCTGAGACACGAGATCGAGCAATTATCCATATTTACCTTCTGCATCTGGTGCAATGTATAAAATATATTATTAATGGTGATCGAAGTGCAGTAAGTGGAGTAACTTTTGGGCATAATAGTTTGTGGCATAATTATGGTTTCAAAGCTGGCGTCACCAATGTGGTGCCCGGTGGCACGGGTCTCCCCCAAGGATCACATGAATAGCCCGAAGGCCTGTTACAAAAATAGCTCATCGGTGATGGGCTGTTGTGATTTTCTAGAAATAGTGGATCGGTGATCATTTGAAAATATCAACAGTGGAAGCGATTTGGAGAAATTTGGAGAAAAAGTATTTATCTGTTTGCTATATACTGTGAGAAATCTTTCGTCTGTCTGATCAGTGTATTCACTGAAATGAATGTCGTTATTTATTCATCGTAACTAGGGCTCACGTCATGAAGGAAACTTTTTGGAATTGATTATCCTCTCGATTTTTGCATCTACAACTCGGGTAATCGCCCTGTCTCCCGTTTTGAGAGATAAATTTTGGTGTCAGACAATTTGGGTGTTTGACTTAGACAAGTAAAGCAATTGCCAATCGCAGGGCACACAAAGACGAACAACCATCCGCGCTCACACTCACACCTAGAGACAAATTCGAGTGCATGTTTTTGGAACGTGGGAGGTAACCAAAGTACCCGGAGAAAACCCACGCAGGCCCAGAGAAAACATGCAAACTCCACACAGGAAGGCCGCAGACCTCTGCACTGTGAGGTAGATGCGCTAACCACTGGACCACCGGGCCGCTCTGGTATTGTCATAGACAGATATAAAAACACTTTGGGGGAGGCCTCAATTACTTGCAGGATTTTGTTATTTTCGGCACGGCACAATCTATGTACATGAATAAATCTGTTGTTTATGTTGTAGGAACTGTTTTAAAGCTCTTTTGGGCAAGTTGAAGCAACACTGCCACAATTCACAGCTCACGTTCATGGAGCAGGTTAATAAGTGTTAAAAATACTTAATTAGCAGCGCATGAACGCCTCAAAAGGCTCCACAGATTTTTGAAGTGGTGCTTAAATGCGGACTTTTCATAAAGGTTTTCATTTGAGGAGGTTTTATAGCACTGAGGTGTGTTTGCCTTTCTCTCTTTTTCTCCCTCTCCCCCTTTCTCTCCCTCTCACGTGCGCGCATACACACACACACACACACACACACACACACACACACGCATGCATACCCACACACGCTATGTATACGCTATCGTTCAAGAGTTTGGGGGCTCGGCTCACTGAGAAATGTCCTTTCTAAATCACATTCACAACGTCTAGAATTCTTTTCTGATTACTCTAATCTAATCTATATTGAATAAAAATGCATTTTTCTTGCTTTGCTTTTTTTTTTTTTTTTTTTTTACATTTTACACTTGACGCTGCACCGTCATTTCTAATGGATAAATAGGTGCACAAGGACATTAAGTTGCATTATTTTCCAACACTCACAAAAAAATAATAATTTAAAAACATTGACAAATTTTAGCCCATTTCACATCGTTGTGAAAAGGAACGTGATGTAACACTTTCCATTGATCAACACATAGTGCACTTGGGTCCACCTAAGACCGTTTAAACACTGATTAGCATATCACACACCCTTTTGTAGCACACCATCCTACCTTTTTTTCCCCCGACATTATAGTATGTTGTGTGTGTTCTTGTTGATTTTCCATCAGCTGTGCAGGCATGTAATGGGATTCTTGTTACTTTCGGTTATCTAGCTTTATGAAGAATGTACGGCACTCATACAGCTAGATAACCAAAGATAACAGACAACCCCTCAGGCCTGAAACTCTCTCATACACACACACACACACACACACACACACACACACACACACACACACACACACACACACCACTACACTGCCTCGTATGCACCTGCAAGGACCAAGCAAAAATTAGGAGAACAACATCAATCAAAGGCACATTCAGTTCAGACACACAATGAAATGTGATTATGAACTAGCATGGACTAAAAGAGAGGTGGGAAATCTTTTTTTTTTTTCCCCAAACAGAGTCAACAGTTTTTCTCAAGTCCATCAAGGGACATGTAAATTCGATGGTGAATGTTCGGTTTCCACGAGTTGTCTTGTAATATTCAGTCAAGGTTTGACCTAAAGGTTTTCACTGTGCTTCATCCTGAGCAAATTTTTCAATCTATAGCTTTAATACGTGAACTATGTGGCACCAGGCTTGATGTGTTACATTAAAAGGATCATCTTAAATGCAACATGATCATATTGAAATCATGTTGATACAAAATATACAAGATCGATTCATTCATTCCCTCTGAATCGCCAAATACATTTTTGAATATTAAGTATTTTTATTTCTTTGGTTGATTTGTTTTCTCAGTAATTGTTTTCCCAATGGCATTCCGTGACGTCACTACCTGCGCACCGGGCAGAGGTCAGGCGTGATCACCAATTACTACCTACACACACAAACACGAAAGCTACTAAAAAAGTAACTAATAAAAGAGCAACGTGGAAAAAGAATAAGAAGTACTACTTTTCTTTAACACACACACATACACACACACACACACACACACACGCGCGCGCGGTAGCGTGCGCGTCCGTTGCTCTTATATTTAAAATAACGATCTAAATGGTTTAAACTGTAATTTACTTTTTTTTTTTTTTTTACATGCATGATATATTTAAATTCTGTTTCTCTTAAAGGACATTTGAGCTGTCTTGTTTGTGTGAAACTTGAATTAATTAGAAAAGCCAATTGTCGTAATCTTTCAATTATATTTGCTACGTATGATAGGTTCCCCTATATGCAAGCAAGGGGCCGTATAATCAAAATACATACTCCCGGTCCATATTCTGACATTATTGATACACAATCGTAGTCCTCCCAGGTGGTCGACATTGCGGTGTGTGTTGCGGCAGTAAAATGACAAAACGAGCCGTAAAAAATGGCGCTGTAAATGCGACCAAGTGGCAGACAAATAATGCCGAGTGTAATGATACGTTCTGTTATATTAATCATCGTAATACAGGACTTACCTATATGAGGTTGAGGCATCAATCCAACTTCTGCTATGATGCATTTTGTCGTTGAGGATCCTGGTCGTAAACAAGAAAACTGCACGTCATTTTAACGTCTCGTTGATGACTTGCGGGCAAAACGAAACCGTTCATTAACAGTCCATAAAACAATACACTTGTTTAGTGTCTCCTCACTATTAAAATGGTCCAAAATGACATCAATAGAGCGGGTATTAAGCGAAGGGCCTTATGTAATACAGTAATGCACGTCATCGTGCGTGCGTGCGTGCGTGCGTGTGTGTGTGTGTGTGTGTGCGTGTGCGCGCGCCGCGAACGCAACAGTTGAGTAAAGCGTTGTTTTTTTTCAGTCATCTTTTGCACATTTTCAGATTTTTTTTTCATTAATAAAAATACTGTAATCTGTTAATTGTCGTAAATCTCCCTTTTTTCCCCATTTCAGTCTTGTTGAAAAAGATCGCAATTCGTTTTGTGCAATTACGGTGGGGAGGGAATCTAGGGCATCTTGTGAGAACCCTGAACGCAACTGTTGAGTTCAAGGGCAACATTAATCTCCAAATACTTTTAAGTAGAATTCAATGTCAGTGAGTCTTGATGTGGGCCGATATTTTGAGGATTTTTTTGTTGTTGTTTTTGTTTTGCACTATGCTATTAGACTGGGACTTGTGTCAGTCTTGTACGTAACTGATGACTTCAAATACCGGTAGTACCTTTTAATTTTTTGTGTGTTTGTTTGCTTTTCGCACACTCTTCTATGTTTTCAAAAGATTGTCGTCGTTTAGTGACACTTACAGTGAGACTTGTGTGAACTGCGAATTTACTAAATTGAAGCCCTTCGTTTGTTTTTGCAAACTTTCAGGATATTTTTGTCTTGGTTGATTTGAATAAGGTGCACGTCGGGAACCTCGTTAGCAGTGAATGGATCTGTGAGTAAGTGCAGAACGTGTTTTTTTTTTTTTGCACACTTCCAGTTCTTTTTTGTTCCCATATTTCGCCAAATCCGTTCATTGTAATTGTGCCTGTCCGTGTCTGCTGAGTTCAAATGCAATCGGGACAGGCTTGTGTGACCGGCGAACGTACTGTAGGGTTCAAGTACCCTTTTTGCTTACACGTTTGCACACTTTTTCGATTTTCTTTTTAGAAACTGCAATTACGGTGCAAGACGAGGCCGCTTTGACCCCCTTAACAACTAGAACAGGCCCAATCTGTTTGGGGATGCTCGTGCACAAATACGGCCCTTGGACTGCTATATGTCGCGTATTATTCGCTAAAATTTACGCAATGAGACGTCATCATGCAAGGGGATCTTGAAAATACGTCGATACACGTGAATCCAGACGGGAACCTGTCTTCGCCGTGTGTGAGATAGATGCATGGGACGCAAAAGTGCCAACTCTGCAAAGTGGCGCAAAGTCCACTCTATTTCTTGATCACTTTTTTTTCGGGGTGGGGGTTGCGGGAACTAAATGAGAATAAGGATTTGGATACACGCGGGTCTTGCTAGTCTGGGCCTGAGTGTAAATGCTCTGCCAGCCTCCCGAACGCATGAAGACGCCTTCCCTACAATACAAATGCACTTGACAAATCCACGCAAGAGGACGTTTTCCTACCGGTGGTCCCTCCGCTGGCGTCCCAGATGATGAGAGCCTCCGCGAGCGGCGCGTGTCGTGACGTCTCCACGGCCTCGTCCATTGATTTTCTCCGCTTCTTAAAATCACATCGTCGCATCCTCACCCCCCCCCCCACCATTCCAGGAGGGGAAAGATGGCACGGTCCACGCCGCAGAGGACTACACCGCCACCACCATCAACAGCAGCGCCTAGTGTCCCTTCGAGTGCACGAGCAACTCATTTGTCCTAATTCATATATGCACCCCCGAGGCTACGCCCCCTCTTTGTGAGTCAGTGGTCCACACCTTCCTCCTCCTCCAGTGAGATGCCTCTGCACAGATATGAAGGCTCACTTGTGATTGACACAATGCACTCGAAAAGGTACAAGGTGTTCATTTTCGTCTTTGTCATTGCAGCACATATCGCGGGGCTCTTTCTAATGGTTTGGTGCCTTGAAATAAAATGGGTTAGCCTGCCCCAAATTTGTAGGTTGGATACACAAAATGGGTCTCGGGAGCAATTTGTTCGACTTTATTGATTATCAAGGGCTTTGTATTGTGTTTTGTACATGTTTGGATTTAAAAAAAAAAAACATGAAAAGTAAAGAAATAAGGCCATCTGAATAAATTGAGTCCCACTTCTTTTCCAAGGGAAGGAGAAAAACTACAGGAGAATTAAAAGTGTAATCTTATTATAATTTATTGAAGAAAGCGGGATACAGTAGTGCCTTCTTTTAATTTAAATTTAAAAACTGAAAAAAGTAAAGCAGTATATTTAATCAATTTTAAAAGATAAGGGAAAATAAAGGCACAGAATATAAATTTCATCGTGTCGAAAAAAAAACTAAAAGAAATAGGAAAAAGTCAGGCAATCAGAAAATAAATACAATTCTGATGGTTAATAGAAATTCAGACTAGCAAAGTACATGTAATTGTTTTAGAATATATTTTTAAGAAAAAGTGAGGGGAGACGGGCAGAATAAATATATTCTCGTTTGTAATTTGGAATTGAAAAAGGAAAAATAAGACCATTACAACATATTTGAAACTGATTTCCAGGCAAACAGAATACATTGTTATCCTGTTTGAAAAAAAAAACCCAAACATTCCCAGATTATCAACCAGGTCCTGCAACAGTATCAATATTCAAAATTGGTGGGTCGATATACCGCATATTGATTGATCATGTAAAGTCCTCATGTTAAATCCCAGTGTAATTCTATTTCATCCGACAGCCGGCTTTAGTAAGAAAAGCTATGGGATGCTTGCAAATTCATCAGAAAGTAATTTCTTCTTTGCAAAGATGCCCGTGCACGATGCTGATGTCTGCCACAGTCTCCACAAGGTTCCCTTAATTAACATGATAATCCCAAATGTTGGGAGTCCCGTCAATGAAAGCCAATCCACCCAAAGACCATTGTGGGTGCGTGCGTGACTGCCTGTGTGTGCGTGTGTGTGTGTGTGTGTGTGTGTGTGTGTGCGTGCGTGCGTTAAAGCATGCGCACCCCGCGCACAGTCATGCCGTCATGCCGTCTCAACATTTGCATGCAAGAAGTTGACCCGGCCATGTCATGTCTGTCTAGACCGCCTCAATGAGTGGCCACATACCTCCACACTAAGATATGCACACGGTGTCTCACCAGACATGCAAATCAGCGCCATTTAGAAGCCATGGAACTCAACCATTTTCCTCTTTTCTCTTTTTTACTAAACCAGCCGCCCTCCCTCCATTTGAGTCATGCATTTATTTGCGGTGAGACAAATAGAAATTGATGGAACGCAAGAGCATATTTGGCCCAGCACAAGGTATTTATTGACAGCATGCACGCTGTTTCTGTTATAAACACAACATTGTGGGGGAACCACATCACCTGGAATGCTCACCGTCACTGCACAAATACTGCACAATGTGTGATAGGACGCCACATTTTTACCATTTATGTGCCTTTGTAGGTGCTGCTGCTTTGGTTCACAAGATAGTGGCATGAAAACATGTCAGAGTCAACCAGAATCTAAATAGTCATCATCAAATAGTTACCAGACCGTTTACGTTGCCCTGTCGGGTGCTGCTGTTTTGGTTAGCAACATATCCAAACTGGCTCAGCAGCTCAACTCTCCTGTATGCCTACAAGCCGATTCGGTGGAATCTTATAGCGTTGTCATTTTCACATAATTCTTGACCTGTCATGATTCGAGGGAGGTGTTTATTTTTCTTAAATTGATGATGCACACTGGCGACGAATTGCGGCAACTATAGGGGGAAGTGCGGTGTTTGCAGTGCAGTGAAGCTAACATCTAAACTTGAGGTCCATTTTAATATTTGGATTGAGACAAATTAACTTGTTGCGAATTTCTCCATTGTGAGACAAATAAGGTTATCGTATCTTATCTTATCTTATCTTAAAACCTGATTACTAACAATGTACTTATTTTACACCAGAAAAAAATGGAAAGTACACAATTCACGAGCACAGAAAGTAATGACGAATGCATACTTTGTAAAAATAAACTGCAAATTTAAAAGTAAATGTAATTAAACATAAAATTAAATCAAAAACTGAAAAGCATAATTATTAAGTTAGCATTTTGTATGTTTTAAATTTTCCTAAAATGTTAAACTCTTGTAGATCCATTGTGGTCCCCACTCATGTCAGTGTATATGACATTTAAATGCCATATATGGTTTATATTCGTTCGGATTAAATCATTGGCATATACAGTACTGAAACAAGTCATTTTAAACGCTAAACAGCAAAGAGGTGAGCGTTCATTTCTCCGGGTGCTATGACACCACCGTGTGGACAGTTTAATGCATTACACCTGTTCATCGCCTCCATCAGGCCAAAGTATGAAAAGACGAGCGAGCGCCCACTGGTGAAGGTAATAATATGCATCCATTTTCTGTACCGGGTATTTCTTATTGAGGATCGCGGGTGGCAGGGGCCTATCCCAGCCAACTTCGGGCAAATGGTGGACTACATTCTGAACTGGTTGCCAAGGAATCACGGGTCACTCTCACGTTCACAGTTACAGTCACTGAATGGCAACTGAACCCATACTCCCTGTACCGAAGTCAAGCGAATGCACCACTACACTATCAGTGACTTGGTGTAATATAATAATAATGCTTGTCTCATTTTCTGATGCACTAATGAACAGTAGTGCATCAAGACATGGATGCTGCTGTTTTGCTTAGCTAGATAAAATTATGTAGCGACCACACTAGCAAGGAATACTCATTTGTTGTATTGACACAAATGCACTCTTTAAAAAAATTGATACGACCTAATGATTTAGTGCAAATTCATTTGTGGACCCCCAATGTACGTCTTGCAGACTTCCAGTTGCTCAGTGACGCCAGTTTGAGAACTGCTAGTCCACTGCTAGATATGGCCCACGGGCTGCATGTTGCCCACCTATTGACTCACATTTATCAAGCATTGAAGACGAAAGCATTGAAACTAAATGTCGTCAAGCAGATTATGTGGATGGGAAACACTGGACTGAGTCTCCAGTGCCCTGCGCCCTGTTCTACGGACCATGACCAGAGCAATGGGGGCGTCCACTTAGTGCGTGGACGTCATACAGTGCAGTGATATAATGCCAACACGTCTGTCAGGATGCTATAATAAGGCGACAAAAACATCTTGTTTGTCATTTTCCCGCAGTGAATTGGCGACACGAGGATATATGCAGAAACTAATGAGCTAGCGGGCTTCTGCATAGCGGCTCAAGTCTCCACTGACATTTTTGCCCACATGCAAAAATCATGCAAAAGGTAAATACTGTGGCGGAGGGATACAAACAGCACGGCACAACATGGCCGTCATCTCCGTCATGTCCTCTTCTGCGGGACCGGCCCGCACAAGCGTAATGCACGCCGATTGGCCGAAATGCACCTTGCCTCGGCCTCCCATTGGCTTGAGCAGACGTCCATCAAAATCTGATGTCAATGACGTTGATCATACGCTGGTTTCACTGTATCGCCTTGGTGGACGGTATAGTTACTTCAAACATGAAATGGAATAAAATGTCGCGGATTCTTTCACAGCGAGAAGACACGCAAGCGTAGTTCAATCTATAGTTCTTCATTGAGAAGTATTCCGTCCCGGCAGACGTATCTTTTTTGGCCTTTGAATCGGCAATATTTCAGGGTAAGTGGAGTGATACATTTCCTGCGTCTTCACCCCCCACCCCATTGGAGTAACGCCGCTTGCTTTGCTTATTTAAATCTCATTAAACGCTTAGCGACGTTCTCTTTATCCGATACGCTTGTTTTATCGAACTAAAGTTTCCTTGATGTAAAGTAGTGCGTGCCCATCGAGTTGTAAGGGAAGGTAATGGCTGTCGGCCGCAGCTCGTTACGAGGATTGTCTAATGGCCTCGATTCCGGTGGACTCTCGCGTCAACGTCTTTTTTTTCTTTTTCCCCGCGGTTCAAGCTCGCTATAAATGTCCTAAAACGACACTGTGACACCTCTCTTGCGTCAACGGGCCTGTCTGTCTTACATCTGTCAAAGGACACCACGACGTAGTCCCCATAAAAATGTTGGATAGAGCACTATGGAGAAGATGTCCACACTTGAGTGAGAAAATAACATTTAATATAAAGTCTGTGAAGACTGCACACCTGAAGGCGTTTCTGTTCAAAACTCATCTCGTTGCATTGTTGTCCTTGAAGCTTCACTGGGTGCTGGGGCGGTGGGTAGGAATGGCGAGGTCGGGGGGCTAATCCTAATATTTACCTGCATTGGTTTGAGTGTAAATTTGTGACAGTCTGTCTTTCATGTGCTTCAAATCATCCGTCCATCAATTTTCTATCCCGCATATCCTTATTAGGGCTGGAGACAATTACAGTTGACAAACTTTAGGAGACAGGCGAGGTACACCCAGGATTGGTTGCCAGCCATTTGTAGGGCACATATTGACAAACAACCATTCGTGCTCACTTTTACGCCGATTGGCGTTTCGAGTCTAAAATGCACCTAACATGGATGTTTTGAGAATGTGGGAGGACCCACACAAACCACAGGGCAAAGCAACACAGGAAAGGCCCACATGTGCACCTCCGAACTGTAAGGCAGATGTGCTAACCACTCAACTGCATGTGATACAAGTCATGATCTAACTGTAATTCAATGCTCAAATTAGGTCAGAATGCCATGAAATGTACCCCCCCCCAAAAAAAAAACGATCCTATTGGAGATTTAGAAGGTGTCTTTGATCCAGTTTGAGGTTTGACATGATTTTAGTTTTCCAAAATGTCTGAAACAAACGTCTATGTTATATGTTGAGATAATTTGTGCGTTGTTCCTTTTTCAGAATGTAACAGTTTTTTAATTGCATCAAACGCTCTCAAGGATGTGTGCACTGTCATTGTACAGTGGCTTTGTTTAATGTGTTTTTGTGATGCCTCCACAGTCGGGTGCGTTGTGATAAACATGCAGTCAGAAACGGAACTTGGAAATGGAAGGTGTTGTGATGGCCACACTTGAGGCAGAGAACAACATAACTTCTCTTAGTTCACTTTCCTATGAGGGAAAATTGTTCACGGACTGTTTAGTGTTCCATTTATCAGACTCCACTATATGTTCATGCTTGTAGAATTACAAAGTCCCCTCTGAGAAGCATAGTAATGTTCTTCGTCCCACTCATTGATTTAGAATAGTGTTTATTTGGCTGTGGGCACATATTTGAAGACACGCTTTAAGTGTATTTGGCAAAATCCCTACTTTATGTGGATGTGAAGGTTATGCAAAGAGGCATTGTAACAAATAAACATGAGTCAGTGCAGAAGTGGAAATAATTGCTCTGTGTGTGTGTGTTTTGCTTTTCCACATCTCATTGGCTAGTGTGTAATCCACTTAAAGGTCAGTGTCACTAATGAGCACACTCCACAACAGACAGATGAAGACCCTCGGCATGATTACGTCCCCCCCTTCATCAGGCTTGCTTGAGCATCTCTTGGCTGATTTAACCAATTTGATCTCGCTGTAATAAACCAAATAACCCCCCGAAAAAAAACAAAATAATAATAAATAAATTAAAATGGCATTGTGCTGCGTTTGTCTTTTTTCTGGTTCCGTGTGTCCAGCGAGATTAGTTCAGGTTTGGACAATTTACATGAAATAACCGACTTGACCTTGTTCTCACTGAGTGCAAACAGTTTGTGGGGACGCTTCTAATTGAGCCATTAGTGCCTTGAAGGGATTTTGGGGGCAGGGGGTACATTGCGTAAACGTGTCAATTGCACTCATTAATGAGGGTGCACAGAAGCCCGCAGGGCCTGAGCCATTCCAATCAAAGATCTTTTTTTATTTTTTTTTTTTTTTAACACCATATTGCAAGAAGAAGGATGTCATTGTGTGGCCTTACATTCAACGTCCAAACCCCCTCTGGAATAATATTCCTCCAGGATGATAGCAAAAGGAGAGCTATGTACTTCTGATAATCTCTCATAATAGCCCAGCATCATTACACAAGATGTTTTAAAGTCTCTCTGCCTAATGATCTTCGTAAACAACATGGAGATTGGATCAAAATAATCTGTCACCAATTTAAACCTTTTATTGACTGTACAAGCAATGTTAAAGTAACATTCTAACATACTTAACTTTGGTCCAAGTGTAAAAAGAAGTGAACCACTGTTAATATCCATCCATTCCTCATCCAAACCGCTTATCCTCATGAGCGTCGCGGACACGCTGGAGCTAATCCCGACTGTCATCGGGCAGTAGGAGGGGTACACCTTGAATTGGTTGAAAACCACAATCAAAATTACAAAACAGACAACCACAACTTTCTTCTATAAATCTAAATATCTTGCTATTTTTTTTCACCCAAAAGCCAAAGGAAATGCTGTCTCCTGGGGTTGCAGCAATTGAATCACTTGAGTAATTAGACTAGCAGAAAGGTTGAAGCAAAAGCTCTGCCTCAAATGTTCGTAGCAATAATTCTTCCACACCAACTAATTTTATCGAAGTTGCACACGCCAGTCCATGCAGAAGTAAGTTAACACGAAGATGATAAGCAAGGAGGAAAGTCTGGACAGGACAGAGAAAGTTCCAAATTTGGGATCATTTTACACTTCAAGGAAGACAAAGTCCATCTACGATTGCCAACACAAAGTAACGTGTCATGTTACCATGCGTTAAATGGAACGTTTTACAGGAGTTTTCCTTCTTGTTTCCCCACAGGTGACCCTCATCCTTCGGCAGCCATTTTACTTCAGGCGGTTTTCCTCCGCCCGTCCGTCACTTCTCCTTCAACCCAGCCAGAGCAATGTGCCAGCACCGCCTCTGCTATTGTCCTCCGCCACCTTCCCGCACCTAAATTTTTTTTTTTTCTTTTTGGCGTGGCAATAAAAAAAAAAAAACAATAAGCTAGCAGGGCCAGAGAGAGATAGAGAGCTTCTTTATTTGATTTGACTGCGTCAAGGCATCATGGGTAGGAAAAAGATTCAGATCCAGCGGATCACAGATGAAAGAAACAAGCAGGTAAGAGTATGATTTTTGACCTCTTGTTTTGGTGCCCTCCCTCGCGAACACTTGCCCACGGTAACTAAATGCTGAGTCTCCAGTGAACCTTTAAAGCTCAAGTGAGTTAGATTCAGGGCTGCTGCTGCTGCTACTGGCGGTTGTTTTGGGGGGTTCCAGTTTCATGCCAGTTGCTGGCAGCTGAATGCTCCGCGTGTTTGACAGCCTTGCACTTGTGCGAGCAGCTGTCGTTTCGAAGTTGAAACGAAACACGCAGCCCGACCCGAGCTTAAGCTCGCACGTTCACAGTGAAGAAATAGTGCTCTACAAGCAAACCTTGGACTTTTTGTCATGTTACAATTGAAGTATACTTGGTACCATCATGGTCGTTTTCACACATGCATACTGTATGTCATGCGCCCAAATATTTGTACATGCATTTTATTGTTCTTAATTTTTTTTGTCTGTCATTAAAGTAAACCTACATACCCTGTTTGATATTAAAAAAAATACAATCAAGGTGCACGTGTGCACCCGGTAAAAGGCAAAGTTAATCAACTTCAACTTGCAATTGCACCGGTCACAATCGGTTCTTGTGATGTCAGAGGTTCTGGATGCAGACCCGGACGGAAATTAGACCACATTTTTCATACGGTAAAAACGCCGGTTATTAAATTTACAATAATTATTATAGCGTGTCCCACTCTTCACTGTTCTCAGGTGACATTTACCAAGCGCAAGTTTGGCCTGATGAAGAAGGCGTACGAGCTGAGCGTGCTGTGTGACTGCGAGATCGCCCTGATCATCTTCAACCATGCCAACAAGCTCTTTCAGTATGCCAGCACTGACATGGACAAGGTTCTGCTCAAGTACACCGAGTACAACGAGCCACATGAGAGCCGCACCAACGCCGACATCATCGAGGTAACATCAGACTGTAGTCAACTCATCAGATTTATAATCTTTACTCCTAATGTACCAAATTGATGTTAATCATCGCTCGTCTCACGTAGCATATTCAATCAGATTTAATCTCTCACATATTTACAGGAAGTTGTATTTAATTTCTGTAAATATAGCATGGATTTTTGTTAACATATTTAATGTTCCATACAACAAATGTAACATCGTTGAACCATATTTCATGGTCTATGCACCTCTAATGTACCACGTTCACATCTTATCCAAAGATTATTCACCTAAAGTACCAGGTCTGCAGCATATGCATTCTCCGTACACCAAATTGAGCAATAGTTACATCATGTGTAATGGTCTGTTTCTAGCGCTCAGTTACTGTAATGAAATGAATATCAACTCAAAGTATCGGTTACCAACCCCCTTGACTACTCCTAATTTGTTTTGCATTGCCGGTTGGAATTACGAAAAAAAAAATTTGGTCTGCCTCTCTAAAATTTACATCATGTCATATAACTTTACTATATATTTACAGCATGTAGTGTAAATCAGGCCTTCCTTACGTTTTGTGTGCACGTGTAGACTTTGCGAAAGAAAGGCTTCAATGGTTGTGACAGTCCAGAGCCCGACGGCGAAGACTCCATCGATCAGAGTCCCCTGAATGATGACAAGTTTCGGAAGACCACAGAGGACCTGGATGTTCTCTACAAACGCTATGGAGTGAGTGTGTAATCGGCGCAATGTTCTGGTTAGAAAGCAGCGTACATCACACCTGTTTGTCGCTTGAAACGTTGCAGCAGTCGACGGCTCCACCACAGACCTTCTCCATGCCTGTCACCGTGCAGGCGGCCAATTCCAGCCCGCTGCAGTTCAGCAACCCTGGCAACGCGCTGGTAACTACCTCCTACGTGACGGCGCCGTCGCTCACCGACACCCACCTCTTGTCGCCACAGCAACCGGCCCCTCCGAGGAACACCGTGTCTCCCGGGTTGCCACAGCGACCGGCTAGCGCAGGTGAGACATCCTGCCGAGGTCGGCAAGTGGGACGCGTCAGCAGAAAGGGGGACTAAAAAGTTAAACTCAAAGCAATTCACTTTCGATTACTTCCTTGACAGCCATACCAAAAATATGACAACTCTCAAACCGTTTATGCTTCTGACTATAATGTATAAGGTCAAGGAATCATAGAAATGGTTGTCTCACTATAGGGCAGCAGAATAATGGGGCTATTCTCGAAGCCCGTCACGGAATCGTAGAATTATAAAAGTAATACGTCGTTTATTGGCTAAGAAATAGATTGCGATATCGTCATTACTGATACCATTCAATGAAGGAGTAGTTTGGAATGTCCCCTGAAAACAAGAAAAAAATGAACACAAAGTGGCCGTGCTTCCGAGATTGGGTTATTTGACTAATAGCGAGTCATCAGACTTCACTGCTATGCTCCATCCTCGAAATTATGAAATTGTAAGTTTTTTTTCGTAGAACTTTCAACCTTGACTTATTACACAATTGCAATTGATAACATCGTCCTAGCCATTTTTGTGCATCTCCTTTATGACTGACTATTCTTTGAATTCAACAGGCGCTCTTCTGGGAGGTGACCTGAATAATTCAAATGGCGGATGTCCAAGTCCAGTTCGTAAGTACTTTATTTTTATTTTCTCCATTAGTTGTGTTAGCCTGGCCTGAATGATCTCTTTGCACAGCTAACGGCTACACCAGCGCCAGGGCCTCGCCCGGCCTCCTCGCCGTGTCCAACGGCAACAACCTGGGCAAGGTGGCCCCGGCCAAGTCGCCGCCGCCGCCGCCCGCCAGCCCCCAGATGGTTAGCAGCCGCAAACCGGACCTCCGCGTCATCACCTCGCAGGGTGGGAAGAGCCTCATGCAGATGGTGAGCTGCTGATGCCTTTCATACCTATCCTTTGTTTGTTGTTGTCGCCCTCCCGTGGCCTATTTTGTCTTTTAGCGGCAACGGCAGTAAGGCAGCATTCTTGCCGGTGTTGACAGTGGGCATATTTTGTGGTTTTATGAGTGTGTTCACACACACACAGAAACTGTGACAAACGCTGTATTTCCGCCTCACTTGTGTAGCGTGTGGTTCAATGCGGCCACGCCCCTCAACTGCTCTCTACTTTTGTGGCTACTTACAAACATGTCACCCTCTCTGTTACCACCCTTTCGCAGACAGAGGATGAGCTGGAGTTGGTAAATGAGGTGAATGTACGCATCTTAGCATGGTCGCAATAGAAAAGAAGACACTCGTTGGTTTTGTCGTTGTTTTATGTGTGTGGTATTTATTTATTTCTTTAGCCAGCCTCACTGGCATAGCTCGGGATGATCCTCAGTGTGACTGCATGCGGTTTAGGCCTCATGACCATGTTGTTCTCTCGTCTCGGCATCATGATCTTCATGATCCAGGACAATTTACTAAAAGGAAATAAGAACGGTGAACCCTCACTATTTGCTGTGATTATGGGCCCAGGACAGAAAGAAAATTGAGAGTATCTGACACACCCACAAAATGTTAACTGGTTCCCATTAATAGTTTCAATCCCAAATACTAGATCCACCAAACACTGATCCCAAAACACTTTAATAAACACACTGCTTACATTATCCTGAAAAAGATTTGATCAGCGAGGACGCTGGTGTTTTTGTCACCATTTGACAACACACATGATTACGATTCGATTTTTTTCGACTCAGGTATATGTAGATATTCTCATTTTGGAGAGACATGCTATATATCGCAAATAACTCTATCTTTAATGGGCGCTTACTGCACGTTACATTTCTGAAATGCTCAGCTGATAACTTCCATCACTGCCAGTAGTGATCCCAACCTTTCGCTGCATCATATTGAGAAGTTTACCACCCCGCTTTCTCCGAGGATCTGGGCCTTCCTTTCAGACTTCCAACTGGAATCCCCCCCCGTCATGTTGCTGCTGTTTGGTGTCAAACCGGCTATCGGCTGGTTGACAACACTACCTTACCTTCTTCTCTGCTGACGTTGTACAATAGCAGGAGCTGGGCGTTTGGATGCCATATAGTGCCCAAATAGTTTTAGTTCGGTCCAACAAAACACTGAAAAATGGTCATTTGCAAATCGGTGAGGGTTTACTGTACTGTTTTCACCAAATAGGGAAGCGCCGCATGGCATGATCCTTGTTCACCAACAAATCGACACCCATCTTCACCTTCCACACCCACTAATGAAAGTTTAGACACGCTTAAAAAAATTCCTGCCATTACATTAAAGGCATATTTAGTTTCCAGGAAGCAATCATCAAACACAGCAAATTCTAGATGTAAAACAATATGAGTCAGAATGTTTAGCTGGTCGAATTTGTGTATCTAAAAATGATGGTTCAGACTTTTAAGCTCCATGACAACATGATGACGTGACCATTTGTCAGTTTCCTGGAATGCTAATTGACTACGAGGAGGCAGTCTTCACAGGAACATGAAGCGCAACAACATGCGGTTCAACCCACCTAAGACTATAAATGTGTCTTGGTAGGTGCTGCCGTTTAGGTTAGCAATAGATTTAATATGACCTTAGCAGTTCATTTAGTAAGCCTGGTAGATCATTTACTTTTATTAGCATTTCTCTGGAATACAATAGACTGGGGGG